CCTGCCATTGGCTAGGTACTACTAGAGGGTTGGCATAACCTGTTAAATTCATTCATCATTTAGGTGATTCTTAATTGTGAAGTTGCTCTTACTGGGAAACATGAAATGACTGGGCAGATTCGGGAGAACTGTGGAATCTCACAAAAACCTATAATGAACTGGAAGAGATTTGGGGGAGCAGGAACCTCCTCTAGAAGGAACAGCACAGCTTCATAGTCCTGACCACCAAGGAGAACCAACAAATGTGATAATCATGGCCCTCCTATCTTCACATCTACAGGCTCTAAGGCTACCTCACTTCCTGTTTCCAGCTATTCTCACCCAATACTTAGACATTTATTTCATCACAACAGCTACCCAGGGCCCAGCTTTGCAGAGAGGTGATGTCCTCCAAAAAGGCAATATCCAAGGAGATGGTGAGAGATCGGATGTCAAAATCAAGGTTGCAGCCTTGACACACCATTGAGCAGATATTGCTGTGTTTCCCTTAAACAATTAAAACTGCCCACTGGGCACCCCTGGGAATTGCTGTGACAGTGTGCAGGCAACTTATTTTTATTTATTTATTTTAATGATTCAGTGAAAAGATCCTTGCAAGGATCTAGGCAGTGCTTGGAATGAGATGCACAGTGATGGCTGCCCCCCCAGCCCTGGGGTGCCCTTTGCTGGTCTAAATACCATTTCCTAGAAATAACAAATACTGCTCTTGATGCCTAGGGAGAGGAGCACACCTAACGTGAGATGGCCTTGAAATATTCAGTGGTTCTGGCAATGGGTGACTGTTAATATATTTGTGTGTTTTGGTTACTAGGCTAGATGTAAGCACAGACCTTCAATTATTTCTTCCACGTCTCTACAAGTGTAACCATCTGAGTTAGGAGTCAGGAGACGACATGAGCACATGTTGGGACATGTGCCCTAACTTTTTAGATGTGTTTATTATCTTCTCCTTGGGAAAACTGGGTCTCTGTGTTTGCCTCATACCGAAATACCAAAGTGGGGAACTCCCAAAGGGTTGAACCTTAGAAAATTGACTTTGTAAGGATTTGTTTACATACAGAAAGATATATCCACTCTTAGACTATTCTGGGCTTAGTTTGACAGTCTATACATTGTGTAACTGTCATCCCCATCTGTTCCTGTCCAGAGTGTTGCTGGGGCTCTTTGTCAGTCAGTCTTCCTTTCAGCCCCAGCCCCAGGAAACACATAGCTGTTGTGTATGTTCCATAAATGGAACCACACAACATGCAGTTTTTCTTCCCTTCCTCCCTCTTTTTCCCTCCCTCCCTCCCTCTCTTTTTTTCCTTTCTCCCATTTCATGTGTCACTGCCCCTCCCCACCCATCTTCTAGACAGGATTTAGCTGTTAGCCCACTCTGGTTTGAGTTCATGGCAGTCTTCCTGATGCATCTCCCTAGTGCTGGGATTATGCGCATAAGCCACCATGCCCAGCTCAGGTTTCTTTCATATAGCAAAATATTTCTGATATTTATCCATAATGTTCATCATATATTCCTTTAATTTTTTATTACATTTTATTTACTCATCTATTTATTTTTTCACCCATACATGTGTGTTGTGTGTGTTTTGCACCTGTGTGTTATTGTGGTCAGAGGACAACTTTCAGCTTTCTACAGTTGGCTCTCTTCCACCATGTGGGTTCTAGGTGTCAACTTGGGCTGTAAGGTTTGGCAGCAGGCACCCTTATCTGTTGCACCATCTCACTGGCCTGAAATTCCTTCTTATTGCTGAGTAGTGTTCCATTGCATGAAAATATTGTGATTTGCCCTCCATTCTTTTGTTGGTAGACATCTTCTTTGTTTCCAATTTGGGGTAGTCAAAAGGTCATACTTCTTTTTTGTTGTTGTTTGTTTTGTTTTTAGAGACAGGGTTTTTTCTGTAGCTTAGGAGCCTGTTCTGGAACTTGCTCTGTAGACCAGGCTGGCCCCAAACTCACAGAGATCTTCCTGTCTCTGCCTCCTGAGTGTTGGGATTAAAGGCGTGCTCTCCCCCCGCCTGGCCAGAGATCATACTTTAACGACCGTTTATATGGACAAATTCTGTTTTTCTCAGGTGCACATCTGGGAGCGGAGCCACAGGTTGTGTGGTCGTTATCTGTTCTCCTTTATATATGAGGGGCTCTTGTGCTGGATTGGAGGATAACTGAGGAGATGCTATGTCCTGTGGATAGGGTATGATGTTTCAAGATTCATATCCCACCCATAGTACTGGCATCTCCTTCTCAGTTACTAGAGCCAGATCATCATCCTACCAACTACCTGTAATCCTGTGCCCAAACCACCCTTTGAAGTAAGCCCCTTTCACCATTTCCTGATCAAAGGCAAGAACAGCCAGTTTGCCCAGGCGTGCTTGCAAGAATGTTTGTATAGCAAGCAGCTTAGGCAATGAGGATAGCGTGGAGCCTATTTATTTACATCCTAGGTTAATAAAGATGGTGACTTCCCCAGATCAGAGGTTGTGCAGCCTCCTTCTCAGTGTTGGAACCCTTCTCTGGGGTGCATCCTAAGGTGTTCTCAGGTACTGTTTGTCCTTCATCCCATCACCTGTGTACTCTGGAGGTCTCTGACTGCTGGCTTTTCTCTCTGCCTCAAGAGTCTTGCGTTTTCTGCAGTGCGTTGAGACTCTCTGGCAGTCTAGTCTGTCAGTTTGCCAGCAGGGTTAGTTCAAATGTCGCATGGTTCTTGACAGTGCCTGGGAGCTACCATGCACAGCTGGCTGTGTTACCTCCTCCCCACTACCCTGCTGCTCTTGACGAGCATTCTACCAGACGGCAGGCCCAGGGGCAGGAGATCGAGAGGTGGGGGTTGTGTTCCAGCCCTCATAGAGCAGGCACACGCTGTGTAGCCTTTGCTGTCGTCATCACCAGGTTGTGACTCATTGACTTGCACAGTCTTCCTGAGTGTGTCCCGTTTCCCACCACAGTTTGTTTCCCTGTGTTGGAAGTACATTTTCAGATGGTCAGAGTGAGCACACTGAAGTGCTTCGTGTGCCCCAGGCAAGCAGCAGGTGCCACATGGTGATTGTGTGGCCACTATTTCCCATTATCAGTCATGGTAAGTTCTGGTTGTCTCCTGTGCCGAGTCTTGTGCCCACACCAGCTCAGGGTGGAAGTAGGAGTCAGTAGCTAAACCCTACGTGTGTCTTGGTGGACTGTTATTGTGTGTGCATGTGTGATGAGTGTTTCAGCCTGCAGAAGTCTGATAATGCCCAGTAGGGCCAGGTGATTTCCCATGATCCAGGGAACCTCTTTGAAGATCCTGAGCTGTTGGCTGACCCTGCTGGTTGACTTCCCATTGGTGAGCCGGCTCAGCTAAGCCTCCCTCATCCCCTGTGTGGACAGCTTCTAGAGTAATTCCTCCTCTCGTGGATAGGGTGCTAAAGACTGAGCCCTTTGGTAGTTGTGGCTGGGAGAGCCAGGAGCAGGCTGTGCAGATGAACTTGCCTTCACCCTCTTGCTGCTCCATGGGGCTGGGCATGCACAGAGGCAAGAGTATGGCTTATGCCTGACTTTTGACTCTTCTTTGTCCTTCTGCCATCTACCTTCCATCATCTCTTCATGGACAGGCTTGCCATGGGGACTCATAGCCCGTCCTGCTCCTAGCATGAACCTGTAGATGTACTCGAAGGTCACTTTGGTTTCTTGTTTCTTTCTTTTATGCTGCCTGAAGCTTTGTGCCTCACACATTGGTATCCTAGAGATGTCTTTGCAACTATTAAAAGTGAAAAATTTGAGTGACGTCTCAACTGCCAGAGCAATAGGCACACACGGTCAGTGCTAAGGTGAGTTTGTGGGGCAGCCTGGGGGATGGAAGTCACACTCAGCTGTACTTGCTCCAGGATGAACCTAGCACTGGGCCCATGATCCTGGGCCCTCATACTCCACACACTCATGGGAGTTTCATTGCTTCCCCCTCTGTTTTCTCCCTTAGGATCCTGCCTTGAGATGCTGACCCTAAGAGCATCCTGTTTCCTCTCCTTCATGCCTCACTCCCTTCTGTTACCGCCTGCCCTGTAATGTGATAGCCTTCTTGGGGAGTCTTCAAATGAAGCTTTTAGAATTGTTGAGGGCTCTGTTGGAAAACAAAAAGGCTATTTCATGGGAAGATGATGACCTTATTAACTATAATTAGGCAATTCACAGAGGTTTCCAATATAGTTCAGCATCTCTCCATGTTGAAAAGGGTGGGGGCTATGGTAATGTCTTTGGAGATGTAATAGTCTTTACCACATTAACAATTTTGTATCTGCTGGAAGGTTTGGCAGCCTGGTGTTTTCATTTAGAGGCGAGGTATAGTTTTGTAGTCATTCACATTAATGTAATAACTTTGATAAGTAGCTTCAGACAACAATATCAAGAGCTGTCTGTAGCAGGAAGAGGATCGTGGGTAGATGTCCACGTCTCACAAGTGGGCCTGTGCTGTGTCCCTAGGCATCACATGTCCCCTGGTTTAGGCTTAGTGCTGAAGGCCAGGACATCTGCTTAGACGCTCTTCTTGTGCTAATTATCCAAGGATGTGCATATTTGAAATAATGGGAAGCTGAAGGTTTCTGCAGACATCAGCCCATGCTCTGGAGTCTCTTCTGGGATCTTTCTTTTCCCCTGGATTGAGGGACGGGACCTAGGAACAAACTGTGCCACAGGGTCTACTCGATGTCAGTCTATAACTGTGCCTATAACATCACAGGGAAGAGCATTCCAACCCTAGACCTGCCAAGAGGCACCCAGGGGCCTGAAGCTGCTGCTTCCACAGCCGTGTTTGTATATGGCACCGGCCCCAGCTGCCTACCTCCTCACCTCCCTCTGCTGGCTGGGCCATCCAAGCCTACAGCAAATAACTTCTGTTTTGTGTCTTTCACTTGTGAACATATTGTTTAGTTCTGTAGGGATTTTTTTTCATGTGTCATTTGGGTTGTGTTTTCAAAACTAATTAGTAAATTGGCTCATGTTTATAGGCTCTGACAGTCACCCTCCGTTCTGTGGCTGCACCAGGGTTAGCAGAATTGTACCTCTTGTGCTGAGTGCTGGAGGTTTTGTTCCATCCGTTTTTACCATGGCTTTATAACTAGTGCTGCAACAATCTCCTTAGGTATGTAATATTTAGCTTCCGTGCAGTTACTTTGCCAGGCTTGATTCCATGTCTGGAACTAACCAGCCAAGACTAAGAACAGCTTTTCTTTTTTAATTAAAAATTTCTTATAGTTTTGGAAAATAGAAATAAAGATGAGCCATGGGTCCCAGGAAGTGTGTCAGCCAGGATCTCACTGGGCTGCAAACAGCAGGAACCTTAGGAACCAGGGAGTTTAAGGGAGAGACTGGGCTGGTCTCAGAGTGATCATGGCCATGCCACTGGAGAGCCTGGCCACAGGGCGCTTCCTGTCCCGCGCCCTTCATCCTTCAGCGTGGTTGTTCCTCTGCTAATCTTGCTCCCTTGACAGCTCTTGGCTGCCTTTAATGAGCCTCTCCCGCTCCAGCTGAGTCATTTCTGTTCATCTTTGATACTCAGAGCTGTACTGCATGTGGGCCATTGTGGGATGCTTCCTTTTGCTGTGTTCCTTCACTCTTCAGCTGCCTGTTTGATGGCATTTCATCTGGCCAGAGCAGAGACTTGCCTGGGTCCTGATGGAGCAGTGGAAGAGCCCGCCTTGGGCCCAGGACGGAGCTCATTCTTTTTTTTTTAACAGGACTGCCTTTCTTTTCTCATTTCAAGGTAGAAAACGCCTTTTGCTCCCCATGTGGTGGAGTCAGGAAGAGAACAGAGACTTCCAGGCTCAGTCGTAGTCTCCCTCCCCTGCCCCTCAGGCTGGAGAGTAAGTTTGTTGAGCTCCCACTGGGTGTGGTAGGTAGTTGGGAGCTTGGACCCTCTTTTTGTTTTGTAAGGAATAAGATAGGGATCAGGTAGCCGAAGTTCTTCCTCCTCCTCTCCCCGGATACAACACTGTCCTGCCTTTGGTGGGTATGTGAATGTTTCCTGTGTGTGTTTGTCCATAAGCAATGTACGATACTGTTTTTGTATTTTTTAATTAAAAATTGTATTATTTTATTATTTATTTTATTTTTATTATATGTTTGTTTGTTTGTATCTGTGGAGTCATTGTGCTTCTACAGTGTGGGTCCCAGAGCTGGCCCTGGAGCCTTCAGTTGGCAGCAGCCGCTGTCACCTGCTGAGCCATCCTGCTGGCCATGTTTTTGCATTTAAAAATTTCTAAGATTTACTTTGAATTTTTTCTTTCCTTCTTTCTCTCTTTCTTTCTTTCTTTCTTTCTTTCTTTCTTTCTTTCTTTCTTTCTTTTCCTTCCTTCCTTCCTTCCTTCCTTCCTTCCTTTCTTTTTTTCCCGAGTCAGGGTTTCTCTGTATAGCTTTAGAGGCTGTCCTGGAACTCTCTCTGTAGACCAGACTGGCCTTGAACTCCCTGAGATCCGCCTACCTCTGCCTCCTGAGTGCTGGGATTAAAGGTGTACACTACCACCACCTGGCATTACATTTAAAATTTTAAGATTCATAACAATGCTATTACACTCTATATCCTTTTTCAATTTATAAAACACTAAACTTTATGGTTTTTTTTTTTTTTTTTTTGCTATCTAGCCATCCACAAACCATCCATCCATCTATCCATGAGGCTGGAGAGATGGCTCAGCTGTTAAGAGCACTTCCAAAGGTCCTGAGTTCAATTCCCAACAACCACATGGTGGCTCACAACCATCTGTAATGAGATCTGGTGCCCTCTTCTGGCCTGTAGTTGTACATGCAGGCAAAACACTGTATACATAATAAATAAATAAATCTTAAAAAAAAAGAAAAAGAAAGAAAACCATCTACCCACCCACCTACCCCACCTATCAATTCATTCATCTACTTCATTCATTTTTAAAATATTTTTTTAAAGTTATTTTTGCTTATGTGTATGTGGAATTGAGTGACTATATGTGCTTGAGTTAAGTGTCTGCAGAGGGCCAAGGCATCTGATCCCCTGGAGCAACCTGAAGTGGGTGCTGGGAACTGAACTTGCAAGAGCAGTATGAACTTTTAACCACCGAGCCATCTCTCTATCCCCTACTTCATCCATTTTTAATGTCTGTGTATCTATCCTCTGTATGAATTAATGAGAGTTAAGTATTTTGTTTCTTTTTTGTTTGTTTGTTTTTGAGACAGGATTTCTCCGAAGCTTTGGAGCCTGTCCTGAAACTCGCTTTTGTAGACCATGCTGACCTCAAACTTATAGAGATCCACCTGCCTCTACCTCACAAGTGCTGGATTTAAAGGTGTGCGCCACCACTGCCCGGCGTATTTTATTTTTTTTACTTACTTTATGTCTTGCCAATAAAATCGTGGTGAACATGTGTTCTGGCTCTCTGTTTCTGTATAGTAACCTCTGAACTTAGAATAGCACATTAGAATGGCAGTGTTTGTCATACGTGTAAAGCTGCAGTCTGTCTGACTAGGTGTTGTGTAGGGGAGCTAAAAGGCTGGCTCTGGTCTCCTCTACAGGCTTGTTTATTGGGGTCTGATGAGTGATACTGTCTACCAGCCGGGAGCCAAGCAGTGTTGCCATTCATGGCCCACACTGTTTATGTGGCCTGGCCTTCCTCTAGTAGCTGGGCTCTAGGGCTCAGTGTCTTGAAATAGTCAGTGATCCAGTCTGGAAGTTAGGACCTCACTGTCAGTGTGTTCTTCTCTCCAGGTTCTGTCCTCTAGAAGCAAGCCCATAAGGCCGGGTTCCATCCAGGGCAAAAGCAGTCGGTTTCATCTTGAGTGGGGTGAGTGTCACTGGTTTGGCAGGCCTATTTTAAGATCAGCACCCTTAGGTCTGTCTCCTTGTATATAGCAGGAGAGTTTCTGTGGCCTTGGTCTTGGCGTGGGCCCCTTTTGGACCCATTGGGTGTAGCTGACTTGTTCTCCCACGTGTTTGTTCCCTGACACCCACCCGTGTACTGACAGCTCTGCGCCTTCACACCCCCTCCAGTTCTTGCGGTTTAGATTTTGAGTTTTGCCCCTCTGGTGGGTGTGAGATCAGATCTTGTTATTTCATTTGCCTGCCCACTGGTGAGGCTGAGCCCTGGGAGCCTTGTGGGGATGGCTTTGTGTTCCCTTCCCAGCTGGTTGCCTTGAAGAGACAGAAACGTCAAAGTGCTATTTTTTGGCTTATGATGTCAATCTTTCAAGAGGGAAGTGGTGAGTTTCCCACAGAGTTTATTGTGAACTACTGTGAAGATCTTGGAGTTACTATTGGCATGACTCACTTATGAAAAAAAGGATCCCAGTAACTGCAGGCTGCATTTGTAATGCCATAGATTTCCATTTAATCTCTCACCTCTCTGTAATTTGCCCAATTTAAAAATGCCCCGAGGCTTGCTTTTTCTTAGTCTGGGAGCCCTGTTCTTAGTATGTTGAACTGCAATAATAGAAGTAAGAAATGGTGCCAGTATGTGTTTCCTGGTTCTCATTGTCTTTGTGTACTTTGATTTTTTTTATTTTTAATTTTTATTTTGTGTGTGCCTATGTGTGTGTGCATGTGCATCACAGGCCAATGTTGGGCATCTTCTGTTGTTGCTTTTTACCTTATTTTTCACCTAGAGCTTCCCATTTTGGCTAGATATGCTGGTCAGTGAGCCCCTGGAGTTCCCCTGTCTCTCCCTCCCTTCAGCACTGGGATTGCAACCCTGTGCTGCCACACCCTGCCACACTCTGCCCTTATATGGGAGTTGGGATCAGAACTCAGGTCTCCATGTTTGTGCAGCAAGCTCTTTGCCCAGCAGGCCATCTCCCAGTTCTTGTGTGGACATTTGCTTACTCTGGACCTAGTCCCTTCCTGTGGTCTCTGTTGCAGTGATCTGTGTAAAGCCTGTAGGGGAAACTGGAAGCCAAGGTCTCCACTTGGATTCGTTATGGACCGCACCGCCCCTAGTTATTCAGGCACACCTTTGAAAGTGGCACTGAGAGGCCACAGGGGAGGCCCGTCCCATTTAGATACTGGTGTGAATCTTGGCATGGGGTGCTGTTCAGGAAATACACTTTTAACTAAGTAATAAGTGCTTGGTTCTTATAATTATCAGTTTGATCTACTAACTTCTCTCAGAAACATCTGGACTTTTTTTTTTTTTTTTTTGCTTTTCTGAGACAGGGTTTCTCTGTAGCTTTGGAGCCTGTCCTGGAACTAGCTCTTGTAGACCAGGCTGGTCTTGAACTCACAGAGATCCGCTTGCCTCTGCTTCCCGAGTGCTGGGAATAAAGGCGTGTGCCACCACCACCACCCGGTGACCAAGGGTTCTTTGTTAAGTTTCTTAACAATCCTTGAAAAGTGAAGTTGGGGTTACTTTTTAAGTTAAGATAGTTCTGCCTGAACACTCAGAACCCCACCTGTTGCTCACTGGAGAGTGTTACCTGCTCTGCTTTCCTCCTAAGAGCTGCTGGGATCGGGCAGTGTTGGGCCTAGAGCCTGCTTGCAGATATGCGAGCACAGAAGCAGAACTGCGGCTTTGTAGTGCCCAGGGCCAGTGAGAAGGCACAGGCCTTTGCAGGACTTGTAGGGGGAGCAACACCATGGAGAGGCTCCATGTGGTCCCTGGGAGGCGGGTGGAGAACAGTGTTGTGACAGTGTCCGTGTGTGTGTGTTGATGGCTGTTTTGAGATAGAGCTCTGACTGTCCTGGAACTTGCTGTGTAAATCAGACTGTCCTCAAACTCACAAGATTTGCCTGTCTCTGCCTCCCGAGTGCTGGGATTAAATGTATGTGCTACCGCACCTGGCCTCATTTCCTTTTGTTTTAAGGAAGACGACTTTGGAGGATCTGAGCATCCCTCCATGGATCCACCAAGGTGTCCTGAACAAGTCAGGCCAGTTTCCCAGGTTGGCATGGTTACTGCTACTTAGTTCATGCTCTTATACTCTTTCATCTCTCCGGGCAGCCAAGTTACAGAGCCTTGGAGTTTTCAAACAGCATTCTTGGTACCAGTAAGCCAAACAAAGGGCTGGGTTTTGTTTCCGTTTCTGAGAGACTGCTCACAGCCTAGCAGTTCCAAATGCAAGCCTCTTTTGCCTGTGGCTCTCATTAAGTTCCAAACCCTGCTTGCATGTTGAGAGTCTACAGGGCCTGGCCGTACTGTTGGAAATTTGCCCACTGACCACTGGTGAGATGAGGAACCACATGGCACCTTGATGGGGCCTTGTATAAAGGGTAATCTGCTCCTAACCATCCAAGGATCCTACCTTGCTTGGGAATGCCTAGGGCCACTACACTGCCATCTTCTTAGTGCTCTGGGCCTGAGCATCTGGCCCTGGATTCTGGGACCAGCCCTTCCTGGCCTAATGTCTTGGTTTTCCTGGTTAGTGAAATTCAGACTTGAGCTATCACTAGGAGTCCTTGTAGTAATAACAGCTGTTACCACCTAGGTGATCCTGCCCTGGACCTGGCTTTGTCACACACCTACTATCCCACAGCATAAGAGCTTGATCATCCATCACACTGACAGGGAAACTGAGGCTTGGTAAGACTACACCTTCCCCAACACTCTTAGCACATGATCTTATCACCTGCTCAGTGACTGGGTCTGTCAAGTCATGTGCCTGTGTGCTCTCTGAAGAGCCTGGCCTGTCTTCACTCAGTCTGTAGTCCAGATCATATGCTTTCAGGCAGGCCAGGGAGAGGGCCGCAGCCCTAGGCAAGTATCTCACTTGCTTCCACCTTGTCTAGGCAGCCAGCATTTCTTTAATTCTATGGGGGTCTGGCTCACAGGGCTTGGGTGGTCCGGTCTCCTGCCTGCCTCCTTTAGTATGCATGTCCTGTCTCTTCCTCATCGGCGTGAGCAGCAGCTATCTTAGCACCTAGTGTGGGGAGGCATGTAGCAGGTGTTTGGGTGCAGCTGCGGGGTGAATACATACAGAGAAAGCTGCAAGCCCTACATCTGTTAGTTTCCAGGGCCTTCCACCTTTTCCCATTGATTACAAAGGAAGTTTGACAAGGGCAGGTACTCAGGCCAGAGCCTGCTTGCGTATTTCACATAAATGTCCGTGGCAGCTCAACTCTCCCACGCACAAAACCCATTAGGCAGTGCTGTCACAGGCGGATGATGGCGGGCAAGGTCTCATGTTGACGCAGACTCAGCCGGCTGATTTTGAAGGCCCTGTCACGATTTTGTTTTGAAGGAGTTCTTGAAAATGACAGGCTTCATTTCAAGGGTCTTTGTTAATCTAATAGTGTCCCTGGCTGGAATTTGTGAGCTTATTTTTTCAAAGCTCTTGTGTGCTAGGGACAGAATTAAGACAGTTTCAGCCTCATTTCAGGCATAGAGTATGCAGACAGAGAAATGATCTCGGGAAGCCGACTGTCTGTGTGAGCCGTGGGGTATGCGAGGGGGCAGGGTTAGACCCCAGGCCCTCTGAGGGCTCTTTCAGACATTTGCACCATAGATTAGATTTATAAATCAGACTTATGCAAGCACAGAATGAGCGCAAGTCTGTTCTCTGCACTGTGTAATGGTGAATGTGCACCCAGAGCCCCCAGTGGGGAAGTTAAAATATTAACAGATATCGCTTAGTTTTTTCTGTGAACCTAAGCTAGAATTAATTTTTTTGACTCATTAACTTGTGATTAAAAGTACAAATTAAGCTTTTAGGTAGAACCCATAGCAGATTTGTTAGTTGGTGCAGAGAAGATAATGGAGTCCATGTTGGGTTGTGTTCACAGGGCTGCTGTTTTATGCAATTACGCTTTGTTTTGTTTCTCTTCTACAGTGTTTTGGGAAATCAACCTGAGAATGGGCCCCCAACTCAGAAGAGTTATTGGTTATTTTTCCAGAGTGGCCTTGTCCTTCCAGAGAGCAGTGGGCATTTATTTGACAAGAAGTTATAAAGCTGTGTTCCAGATTCTCTGAAGAAAGCGAGAATCTCACACGGTGGCACCAGAGGTTGTATTTCAGGTGGGCATGCTGAACTGTAAGAAGTCAATCAAGTCCTTAGCAGAGGCCTGCTACCCCAGCTGGCATCTGTCGAATGCTCGCTCTCCTGCCCTTTATTCAGCACAGGAGGGAGGGTTTAAACTGCTGCTCCTCTGGTCCCACAGTTGGTCTGGGGTAGGGTCTGCTGGACCCTCTGTCTTCCAGAACCAGGCCCAGTCTGACTTATCTTGTTGTCCCCAGAACAGCCCTCTATCCCTCGTTTACTGAGGCCCTGCTGTGGACCAGGTATTATGCCAAGCATTAGGGGCATAGGAAGGAAAGACATACCCATGCCCTGGCTGTGCTGCTTGGCTGGGTGCTGGTGGCGCTGCTATCATTTACTTAAACCCTAGGAGACTCTGTGCCTATCACCTACCCTGGTGACTTCTAGGACAGCTACCGATGGCCTCGAGGCTTGCAGAAGCCCTTACAGCCTCTTCCTCAGCCTCCACAACAGAGCCACGAGTCCTCAATATGCCTTCCCAGCCTCCAGGAGCTCTCCTCACCCTTCCTGGCTCTCTTCTCTTGCCTTTCTACCCTTGCCTGGACTGAGCCTTCTCTTTTACACACACACACACACACACACACACACACACCACACACACACACACACACACACACACACCCCAAGATAAATCTCTCTTTATTTCTTTGTCTCAAATTCTATGGCTGTCATAGAATTTGCTATCTATCAGGCTGGCCTCTGCCTTCCAAGTGCTGGGATTAAAGGTTTGTGTCACCCACCACACATGGCATTTCTTTATTTCTTTATTTATTTCAGAAGACAGATTTTCATATAGCTGTGGCTAGTCTCAAGTTTACCATGTTGCCCAGGTTGACCTTGTCCTAATCCTTCTGCCACCACTTCCAAGGCCACCTGGGATTACAAGTATGTGCGATCACGCCTGGCTTCGCATGTCTTTCCCTGTCTTGACCCGGCTTCCTCTTTTTGTATTCCCAACTGCATCTGAATAATTCCTGTCTGTCCTTCCAGGGAGTCATCCCTGACCCCCCAAGGCCACCCCGAATAACTCTGCTGCTGCTACGTTTCTCCTGCTCTGAAGTTCCTCCATCATAGCACTCAGTTGCCAACTGGACCAATTCCCAGTGACTGCGAGGAAAGCACCCGAGTGTACTTTTTGCTGTTGGGCCCTGGTGTGATCACAGCAGGTGGCACATGGCTGGAACATTGTGAACACTGCAGAAAGGAGCTGTCCTGAGCAGCCAGTGCAGGTTAGCAGCAGCAGTCCGGGCCAGGGCTTGAGTCCACGGGGAAGAGAATGTCCTCTGTGGTTCCAGGCCTCACTCTCTTGTGTAGACAGATCCTGTCACTTAGCATCCATCCTGAACCATGGAGAACAAGTCTGGGTCAAAGTGCAAGTTAAGGGCGTCTGGACCAATGCTGCTGTAAGAGAGCTGACGAATGCTGGGCTGGGCGAGGCTTCCATGTATGCAGGAACCCTGTGGCAAGCTCCTGCACCTCTGTCTCTTTAGGCCTGTGGTGCTAGGATGAGTTTCTCCACCGGGAAGGCAGCTGATAGCTCTCTCTGAGTTTGCCATTCTGATCCTGATGCATCTTTGACGGGTGGAGGTTCCCTTCAGAAGATCCAGAATTCTTCCCTTCATCCCCTGCCGTGCCTGGTTCCCTCACAGCCAGAGATGCGTCATTGTTCCCTATGGAAAACTCCCCAACTTCACTTTCCTTTTAGGAAACGCCTGTCACGTACTCTGAAGTGTTAAGGCCACTGGTGCATGTGACCAAAGTATTGAGGACTCAGAGCGCAGAGGTCGAGACAGGACGTCCGTAAGCTGTGTTGCTTGTCCTGGGTTCTCCCACCCCTGAGTGGTGAGGGGGGGCACAACGATAAGAGTGACTCAGCTTAGTGTGCAGATCAGAGTGTGGGTCAAGAGTTAGGTGGCCTGGGTACCAGTACTGGCTCTGCCATTGATGGAGCGCAGGTAGGCAGCTTAGGCTCTCTGGACCTCAGTTTCCTCCTCCCTGAACTGGCCACGCAGAGGTTTCAGTGGCAGTGTCACCTGCAGCAGTTGCCACCCTCAGTACATCCCTGTGCTGCTCGTAGGGGCTCCTTGGGGCTCACTGGCCGAGGCCATCCTGCCCTGGTACTTTTCCATAAGAGGCGTCTTCCCCACAGCTGCCCCTGTGAGGAGCCATTGCACTCCTTCTCTGTCAGGTAGAGATGTTTTAAACATTTGAGACGTTTCTTTCCAAAGTACTGTACCTTCACTTTTATTCTGCGAATAGAACTTTAATTCAGCTGCACATTCATATTTAAAATCTCATAGGAATTAATTTCATGAAACCGGGTTGTTTTCCTTCCTACCTCTCACAAAGCGGTATCGCTGAGCTTCCTCTGGTGTCATCATTATCCCCCGGGCCACTCTGACTCATCTAATGCAGTTTTCTCCAGCAAGCGTGTCAGCCTCGCTTCCCGTCAGCCTTCTCAGATCCTGCCCTTGGTGAATCACAGTAGGCTGCCGCCACCGGGAACTTTCCCACCTCGCCTCAGGCACTCACTTGTGAAACTTTGAGGCGACTTGCCCCCTGAGTTTTGGTCAGGGCTGTGGAGCAGGACCTGCCACCCCCTCAATGACCCTTTGCTGCATAGAGGGTCCACTAGACCCTTCTCCAGGGTATACTTGTCTTGTCACTGGCTCCTCCACTCCTGGGGGTGAGAAGTAGCACAGCGGAGGCCACATGCCACGGATGGAGAGCCTCCTGTGCTTCCGCCCACAGACTTCTCCAAGATATGCAGACTGAAGTGAAAGACAGGAAAAGGAGCAGTGTCTCAGGTCTTAGAGGCATCAGAAGGCTTTAGAAACCCACTTGTCCCTCTTACTCAGCTCTTCGAAGGCCCCAGTGGCTCGAAAGAGGCCTAAGCAACCCTTCACACACTCAGCTTGTGAGTATCAGACAGGACTCGCCATGTGCAACGGCGTACGGTAGGCTGGCTGGCACATGCTGCAGGTGATTGTTTCCCACGGTGCTGGAGACTTGTAGTCCCAAGGTCCAGGTACTGGCAGGGCTGGAGTCAGGAGGGGGCCTCCTCTTTTGTTGTAGAAAACTGCTTGATCACTATGTGCTTTGCAGTGGGTTTACGTGTGCACGCGTGTGCAATGATGGGCAGGGGAATCACACTTCACACTATCAAATGGCTGTTTTCAGAAGGCTAAGAATCCTGTAGGCCCGTGCCTTAGGATGTCGGTTACTTCCTTAGAAGCCTCTCTCTAAATGCAGTCATACAGTAGGTTTAGGATTCTGTTGTATGAATGTGTGAAAGACATGACCCTAAACATACCCAGGTATTGCCTGGTCCTTAGCAGATGCTCAGTGAGTTTGTGTTGTACTGAATCTGAAAGATTTCAAACAGTGAGACAGAACTGATCTCTGAGGCTCTACCTAGATCCCGAAGGGTCCCCTTAGGGCAGGTGGCCTCCTACCCTGAGCCTGCCGAGCTCTGCCTGTTGACTCTGGTGAGTATATCATATGAAAGCTAGGGGATACGATCTATTGGTTGGGGCCTCCACATCCTCCACCCCTGCCTCATCTGCAACAGAGAAATCGTGACCTTGACTAAGTATCATGACCATGATACTCTTGGCTCAGATCTTCAATGTTCCTGTTCAAGGCTATGCTTGTGTTGCCCCTTTCCCTAGTCAGTGCAGTAGTGTCTAGAGCTAGATGCCTGTATTCCCAGTACTCAGCAGGCTGAGGCAGGAGGATTACTGCAAATGTGAGCACAGCCTTGGCTACATAGTAAGTTCTAGGCTGGCTTGAGCTATAGAGCGATAGAGTTGGGATCTAGCGCATGGCAGTGTCTGCACAGAATACGCAAGGTCCTGGCTCTAGCTCCAGCACTGCAAACACATGAAGAAACTGTCTGTCAGGCACAGAGTGCTGCTGCCCGCTGTGTGCTAACTGAACCAGAGTGGATGCCATGCAGAGAGCCTCACAGCTTACACACGGAGGACACTGAAGCTCAGAAGGGAAGGGTAGCTTACTGTGGGTAACTCAGGGTGGGTGGGTGGAGTATTGAGTGCTGAGTAGCCCCAGGAAGTAGGCTCTGCTGGGGTGAGCCTGCACAGAGCAAGCTTGCCTTTGCTCCCCAACTTGATGGTGCACCTTCTGGACTGGCTTGGTAGGGCCCCAAAGGGTGCTTACTTTTGTGGGTCATTTTAGCCACTAATTCTTGTGGGTCATTTCACTAATTCTTGAAATGCCCAAGATACCCCTGACCTCAGCCTGTGGGACATACCTCTGGAAAAGGGCTTCCCTCTGGTATTAGGTTTCCATGTGACCAGTCTTCTGTAAGTATTCACTGAGCAGATCAATGAAAGAACACATTAACCACACTTCTAGGTTTCAGTCGATGCCATTTCTGCTCAGCCAGTTAACCTGTTACACTGGTTGGCCCCGACATGTGATTAGGTGCATAGTGATTTTATTAGTGTGGCTTAATTAATGCATGACATTAAAACATTGACATGGATTGATCTGAGTATCTTTACCATTGGCACTTCAGTTAATAAAATAACTTTTGATATGACCAATGGTTTTAGAGCATTTAGACTTAATTACATTTTCTAAAGAATTTTTTAGACTCATATAACTGTCCAGGCAAGGTACTTTAATTCCCTAGTTAACAAAAAGAAATTGTTTTGTTTGTTTGCTTTTTCTTAATTCAAATTAAAAGTGATATACATTTGATAAAGGCAGTTAAAGGATTATTTATTAACATTTCCCTCTTAGTATATTGGGAAAGTTCATAAGAGCTGAGTTAATTTTAAGGCTCATGTTAAGCAGACAGCTGTTCGAGTGATTTGCTCTAGAGACACAGGACTGCATTTCTGTTGACTCCTGTTCTTTCCAGTCTCTCCTTAGAGACTTTGCTTCTCCATGCTGCTTCGGAGCACCGTCGATGCTCTACAGTGAGCATCCCAAGCTCAGTGTCAGCAAACTGTATCTCATGACAGTGGCTGAGATGGGAACCCGAGGCAAAGTCAGGAGCTTCGTTCTCTTCTCTCTTGAGTTAGGAAGTCTGCCAAAGCTGGCTGTTTGAAAAGAAAGAACTGAAACAGTGGAGCAAAAGGAAGGAGCCCATAGAAGCCTGGGCTGTGAAGTGTAGCAAGCACCCAGCTATTATCCCCCTTAAAGAGTCAACTCTTCTCGTTATTATTTTTTGGAAGCTCACTGTCATAACGTCTGCATCTTTCAAAAGTGTAGCCTGTTGAAGGAGACCTTACAAATAAGTCTAGCGAATTTACTAGCTTACACAAACCTGTCTTCTGTCCCTTCTTCCTCCTCTTAAAAACGCTGACATATTTCAGACTTACAGAAGCATCCCAAGAATAGTACAGAGAATTCCTAGACACTGTTTACTGAATTCTCTAAGTGTCAGCATCATTTCACACCCTGTGTACATGTATTATTGATATATAGTCACACACATTTCTGAACTACTATGCTTATTCCTAAATACTCCAGTGTAGGTCTCTTAAAGTAAGAGAGCTTCTTTCCACACCCACAGAGCAGTTTTCAACACTGAAGCACTAACACCTCATCTGCTGTATGCATGCCTTCCTGAGATTTTTTGTCAATTGTCTTATTTTTTTTTTTTGAGGCAGGATTTTGCATAGCCCATGCTGACTTGAAATTTGCTAATATTGTGATGAAATATCATGACCAAAGGCAGCTTGGGGAGGAAAGGGTTTACTTTACTCACAGTTCCATATAAGAGTTCATCATCAAAAGCAGTGAGGGCAGAAACCAAGAGTCTGGAGGCAGGAACTGATGCAGAGGCCATGGAGGGGTGCTGCTTACTGGCTTGCTCCTGCTGGTTTGCTTAGCCTACCTTCTTATAGAATCCCAGACCACCAGCCCAGGGATGGTACTGTCCTCGATGGGCAATACCTTCTCACATTAATCTTAAGCTGGATCTTATGGAGGCAGTTTCTCAGTTGAGGTTCCTTACTTTCATATAACTCTAGCTTGTGTCAAGTGGACATAAAATAAGCCGGCACAGTAGTCAAAGTAGTGCTGGGATTGCAGATCTCCTTGCTTGTTCCATTTCCGTAGTGATGGGGATGGAACCCAAGCCTCGTGGCATGCTAGACAAAGCACTCTACCACCCGAGACATCTCCAGCCCAGGAATGTCCTGTGTGGTCTAAGGGAGTTTAGGGCCTGGTGTGACTTGCATTGTCACTCTCTTTATCTCCTTTAGTATGGATAATTTCTGTGTCTCATGACACCCACTTGCTTAGAGAGCACAGGACAGCTACCTTTGTGGCTCAGCCATGTGCTTCCTTGTGATCAGGTTCCAATACACTTTGAGCAGGAATGTTTTGTGATCTGTGTGTACTTTCAGAACATTCTGTCAGGAGGTAGCTGCTGTAGCCACCAGTTAGTCCTATTGATGGCATTTCTACATTAAAAATTATATAGGGCATACTTTGGGTCTATATAAAGGCCTGCTATTTCCCAAACTTTAGTTTAAGGCCTTGGTGCTGTTTTTCTTCTTACGGGAACCAGACTTCTGATAATGGTTGTCAAGAGGTGGTTTCTAATTCTCAGATTGCTTGCTGGCTGCAAAGAGTTGTTTCTTTTCCCAGAAGTCTATTTATTTAATTTGTATCTCTGTGGACTCCCTGTACTCTTAGCTTAATGATACACTGTATTCATTTTTGGTTAATGAAGCCCCTTCATGCCAGCTCACTGTCTAGTTGAGGTGAATCCATCATTTGAGTGGTGTGTGTGTACGTGTATAGCAGTATGCTCCAGGCTCTCTTGCTCTTTCTCTGCCTGAGTTCTGAAATCAACCATGTCCAAGGAGCCCTGGCTCCTCTGAGTGGAGAAAGGCATTTGGAAACCAGAGTTTGGGTATTAGCTTTCTCATCACTGTTGTGCTGCAGTTCTCAGCAATCTGACCTGGACAACCTACAAGTTCACACACATGTGTTGTGTAGAAACCCAGGACTGCACATTGATGTCTCTAGTTCCATTTGAGCATAGCAAAGCTTCTCCTGCCTTCTACCATTTGCAGCTCCTATTTTTTTAAATAATTTATTTATTATTATTTTATGTCCATTGGCATTTTGCCTGCAGGTATGTCCATGTAATGGAGCCAGATCCTCTAGAACTGGAGTTACAGATACTTGTGAGTTGCCATGTAGTTGCTGGGAATCAAACCCAGGTTCTCTGGAAGAGTAGCCAGTGCTCTTAGCATCTAAGCCATCTTTCCAGTCCTTGTAGCTCCCATTTCCATAGGCCATTTGTTGTTCAACTCCAGCATGTGAAGAAGAGGTCAGGGTTGCTGAAGAAGTCTACTGATGTCTACTGATGTGTTTTGGCTTTGGTGTGAGAGTATGCAGCTCAACTTTCAGATGTTCCTTGGGTTTGTTTTTTATTTTTCCCCCCTTTTGCCTTTCACTGTGGTCCTTTTACTCATTGGAAAGACACTTTGGCTCATTTATTTCTCTTTGTATTGTCTAGGATTTCTCCCTCTCTCCTTTTCCACGATACCTCCCAAATTGAGGCCAGTACAAAAAGTTCTGTTCTGGGAGGAGTCCTCCCACCCTGCCCAATTCTCTTGATCCTGTCTACCTACTTGCTGCCCCTGCTAGACAGATGACTAGATGCCTTACTCTTGGCTTTTCCCACCTCTGCTCTCACCCCTACCCCAACAAATGGCTAGTCTCATTTTCCTTTCTTTCTTCATAAATAGTAGAACATTATAGAACTTCTTTTGCAGTTTGCTTTTTCATTTAACAATACATCTAATCAGGCCACACTAGTTCTTCTCAAAGCTGCTTAGATTCTTTCTGTGGCTGCAGAGTGTTGTCCATTGTTCACCATCACTTAGGCCATTTGGGCTGTTATTTAGGTGCGCAGGGACTATGCTGTGTCTCTAAGAGCTGGTAATAGCACAGATAATAGAGGCCCTAACTGTGCCTCATGGATCCTGTCTGACTTCAAAA